TTTTAGTGAAAATGTGAAAAGTCAGCAGATGTTCTGAGACAGTTGTGGTCCCCATATGACTTCAATTCATAAAGATTTTTCTCTGGTTTTGGATTCTTCGTTCACTATAGAGGCATGCAAGAAAAACAATGTTTTTTTCACCAATTTAATATAACACACGGTGAGTAATTGATATGCAAATAATCATTTGGAGGATGAAGTATTCCTTTAATTTTACTCCAATATATAGGGTTTTTATCAAATCAAGGCAATTAGGGTCAGAATTACTGACAGAGATATTAAATAAATTAACCACATTCCCTCCATTGTAAATGTTCTCGTGTGCACCAGCCCTAATGGTTACTTCTCTTGTATTACCATTACATCTGAGTCACTGAGCTAACATAAATAATTAATACCCATTTATTTTGTTTAACAAAACTAACTGCTGTTCTAAAGGTGTTTCCAAAATCGCAGACTTTTCTAGATTTTCTGGATGAAAAATTAAAATAATTTTTTAACACATCTCTCAGATTTTGTCATTTTTGTCTGATCCAGACCAAGGTGGATGTGAGTAGATAATAAGCCTAGATTTGAGATACTCTCGCGAGCCACTTCAAAATATTCTTGTATCAAAGTTTTAAATTGTGAAAATGCTGCGGTTAAGACCTGGTTAAGTTAAGGCTTTAAAAAGCACTAGGCTAGGGTTAGGGAAAGACATGAAAGATGAAATCCTACAGGGGTTTTTGCAAATCTGGGGTTTCCAGACATGACCTCCACAGGAAAAAAGGAATTATTTAGAGAAACAGATGCTTTGTTCAGTGACTCACGTGTAAACTGGAGCTACATACAAACTGAACCCTTCTGGTCCTTCAGCTGAAATCTTGTGTGCATTAGCTTACCTGAGACGAGCCATGCTGCTTCGCCTGCGGGGCCCTTTGGCTGTAGCGACCAGTGAGGGCAGCCTTACGGGGGTCCTGGTCCCCTTGCTTCCTCCTGCTGTGGGTGGAGGGTGCACAGAGCTGGTGAGCAGATAGGTCTGGACCAAAACTCTGCTCTTTTGGACGGCTCTTTGATGCCACCGACCACTGACGTCCAAACCCAGGCCGAGCACAGCCGTTGGGGGTGCAGTGGTGCCACTCATTGGTCTCTAAATGTTGTGTCACACCTGGAGGAGAATTTACCTGAAAATGTCTTGTCAAAGTTAAACTAGATTGATCCTGGTACACATGGACTCTCGCTTTAGATATCAAGCAGATAAAGCGGATACTGGAAAGACCTGGATCTGTACGTCTACAGGCCCTGGGGGGTGAATGCAGAGGGGATTGTACTGCTCCACCTGTGGGCAGCGGACACCATCAATGATGTATGTCCATTAATGATGCATGGCTAGAGCTGGTCAGGTGGACACCACCTACTTTACCTCCTCTCCCTCTCTCCCTTTCCCTCTTCCCCAGGTCGGCTTACAATGGGAGGGAACAGGTGGTAAACAGACGGGGCAAAGCGAGTCCAGGAAATGTAAATGTGATACAGTGAACTTCAAATAGAAAGAACCCTCACTACAATTGTTCAATGTGTTTTACTCACAAACCACATGTCTGACATGTGACCCTGACATCTCTTACATGCTCAACTGTTCCAGTACAGGATTTCATAACACTTCTAACCTAAGAATTGGGTACTGATGAAGTACTTCCTGTTCTCTTCTGCTACTTAAATATAGTTGCAGAGGTAGAAAACAACACAATAGGGAACAAGGAGGAGAAAATGAGAAATAAACTATATTATTTTTGGAAGTACAGGGTAGGTAGTACTTTGAAACAAAACAGCTACATCACTAACATTGGGTTAACATGGGGGGAGACATACACCTTACAAACAATTTACTGTAAGAAAATATTTGGACATGAGTACAACACATGCAGGATAATCATTCATCAACTAACAAACTGTTGGGAGCAATGAATTGGTAGACTTGTCAAATTTGTTATAATAGCACAAATGCCCGTTTACAAGGTTGTCTTCTTCCAGAATGCTCGCTTTAACTGTTGGCTAATTCTAGACAGCTAACAATGCTAATAAATGCTATTTAGTTAGCTAGTACCTCTAATGATCTGTCTCAAGTGGAGATTGTAACATTCCTAAGTGTAGCTCTGCCTTTGCTCAATCCACTTTCTCTTTTAAAGCCATCAAATCATGGAACAATCTTCCAACCAACCTGAAACTTTGCACAGACTTCAACGTTTTTTCTCGTGAACACAAAAAATGGATCTTAAGGAATCAGACTTGTCAGCATTAATCTTAAGCCTAAATGATCTTACAACTTTGTAAAAGTATGTAATATTTTAATACCTGTATGTTCCTATTTCCCTCTGTTATGAAATATGTTTTGGACCTGAGTGTTTGTGATGTGTGAGTGGGTGTATGTATGCACATGTGTATAGATGATTGTTTTGTTTTGTATGTTGACACTTTTTACCTTCTTGTTGTCCTTACTCACCTGCCCTGGGACTACGGATGGAAAGTAGCTAGTAAGCTAAATCCGGTACAAAGCATCTCTTCTCATTCTGAGACTAATGTTATTTTGTACATTGTCCCTGATACAAATAAACTTATTATTATTATTATTATGATGAGCTGATCAAACAGTAGTGTACTGCTATTATATATAGATATGGACTATATAAAGGCACACATGACTGAATAGTTTGAGGCAGGAGTAGTCTTGTTTTTAAGAACCATTTCTCTCTAGCCTATTTAAAAATTGTTTCTCAGACCTGTCTTTAGTGACGCTGTATTTTATAGGCCTGTTCCACTGACCGTCACTGAACAGAGACACTTAATGTAACTTGGCACTCTTGGGGAAAATGTGGTAATGTTTGGTTTCTCTTATTTTACTTTGTTGTGTTGTTTTTCATGAATTCCTTGAAGTTTTGCTCCTGTTAACTGACAAAAAGAGGTTGAACTACATTAAGAATTAATTAAAAATGCACCACAGTAATCCCAACCAAATGAAATTACTGAAATAAATGGATAACTGGTGTTAACTCCAAGTGTCGGTACAAAAGAAAAAAATGACAAGCCTAAACATTAACAAGTCCAGTATAACTTAAATTAAAAATGTGAAAAGATCCACTTCTATATAATCAATAATTTTGAATTTAAGTGAACACATTTGGAACATTAAAGACGGGTCAAAGGAACTGTTGAGCTTATCTTATTTGGCTGTGGGGGCATGTCAATTAGAAAGGGTTGGGAACTACTGTAATAATTAAACACTGTCTCTGCTTCACCTAACCATACCATAATAAATGATACACACTTCCTATGAGATTAAGTATAGGTATTAACTAACTTTCCCGTTTTCACTGAGGGTTTATGCTCAATTTAACATTTCCATCATGTTACTGTGTCACTCAGACACACTGTATCGGATCATTTGGTTTCAGGTTTACACGTTTTTCCTTTTATTTGTCACCTGTCTGTGTTTTTGGCTGCTAACAGCCTGTTTACAGTGTGTTACAGTACCAGAGTGCAGCTTAGGTGAGTCAACATTAAACTGACCCACATTGGGCCTCCCTCAGTCAGGCTTCTCCGTATCGCCTTCCACCCTCCGGGCTGGACCTCCTCCAGGGTTGACAGCCAAGACCTCAAGATACAAGTGTGATCCAGGAGCGGAAACACTGCACCTTTACCCTTAATTGTAACCGGACGGGCTTCAGAGCAGGAGCACTGAGGCAAGTCAGGCAGGCTGAGGTGGTAGTTAATCAACTGCTCAGGCCTAAGGTAGAGCAGGTGAATAAAATGCACCAGTACGACTGAATCAAGTCAAACTGCATTTATGTTTGTTTGTTTTTTTTTATTAACTATGTTCTTTGTAACCTCTGCATGCTGCAACTTCAATTGAACTTGCTTTAACTTATCATTAGCCTTTTTGTTTTTTTTAATGTGTCAGGTTCAATGTCAAGGACAGGTCAGAAATCAGGTTAGTCAACTGCAGAAAACAGCATGGAGACCTGTGGAAACTTCATGGTGGTTACTTGTTTTATTTATCTCTTACTTATTCAGTCTCTCCTTCAAACTCAGTGTAGACTAATTTAGATCACTTTCTGAGTGGTGCTTGAATGGAGACAGACTGTGTTTTGTAGTGGCGCATTACTGCATCTCACTGGTGCGCAATGGGAAAGGGGCTAAAAAAAAGTGCATCAACCATAGATAGGCACTGTCCCTTCCCCTCTGGTGGACTTACATGGGACCATTTTATCCAAAAAATGTAAGACAAATGACTTTTTTGATCCCATTTGAATTGTGCCATGAATTAAATATTTGTCAGCACAATTTAAAAGATAGTTTTGCAAGTCAAGAAAGTCAGTTTGTCAGTGCAAGACTGTTCAAATTTCTAATTAGAGGGACTACACAAGTCACATCAGTGATGCCCTAAATCTCGCTTTGATAATCTTCCTGTGATAGCTGTGTTTTATAGCAAGACATTCTAACAAGAGCAATGGGTGTTGGCTCATTCTTCCACTTCTAGGCTGATACAAACACGAGGTAAAATGACATTTTATTTGTTTGGGGAACATAGCTAGGTTACCTAACCAGCTGGCTAGCTGGTCTAAGTGAAGAATTTAGTGTAAGACGAAAGCTGTAGTTCATTCAAAGGTTTCACACAAAACCAGATGGTAGTATGATAAAACTCTATCAAACTGACTTTCTCTACTTGCAGAATTATCTTTTAAATTCACAAATATCATATGTAATTGAGGGCAAAGGATAAAAAATTGTCTCTCTGTTAACCACTGTGTGTATTTCTTCCACAATAAAAGGTCCAGTGGGAGATCAGTTACTAAAGATTATCAGTCTGTGCAGTTACTACCCCCAGTAGCTAAAAAATGGCAGACTGACAAACAACCGGGTAATTGGAAACTTTAAGCTTCTTCGTGAGACAACAGGTTTAAATGAACTCATCTCATAAATAGACAGGCAATAATCTGCAAAGTAGGAAACACAAAGACCAATGGTCAGGTTCACATTATTTATTATTAAAACTTTACAGCGTAAATAAAAAAAAACAAAACAGTGCATCCCTCCTCTGGACTGCAGACTGCTTGTCTTCTTGCTGGATGCCTCTTGGTGCTGCATCTGTTCCACCACCTGCTCCACCACCTGCAGCTCTGCAAGAAGCAGAAAAAAAATGTTTTTAGTGGAGATTATTCAACTTTGGAACATTTTTTTTTTCATCATTTCACATCCGAGTCTGAAAAATAATTTGCAGAGGGACTAACATGGAGGTCATCCTGCTGTTAGCACAGTTCTGTCACTGGTGTCTCCTGCAGCTCTGGCATTTAATAGACATCAATCTTCATTTTCACCTGCAAAGAAACAAAAACTAAGACCAACTGTTCTTTAACCCCATTGCAATTTTGATTAAAAAAAGACTGAGTTCTTCTTGCAGCTCACCCGTCACATTTCATTAACTTACCCTGGTTTAATGGTGTGGGCTCTCAGCCTCCTCCGACTGGTCGAGGCTCCTGTGGCAAGAAACAAACAGTGAGAGCCTGGTAGTGAACTACTCAGCAGGTTTCTACCTTTACTTTTTTTTGTTTGTTTTATATATCAATTACTTGGAGGGTGCCAGCCTAATAAAACAGCATGTACATCACTGAGTATGTATATATTTTGTGTGTGCATGTGTTTGTGTGGGTGGTAACTGTGGAGGTTCAAAAGAAAACCAAACATAGGTTTTAATTGTAAATACAGGTTACGATGTTAAAATGTGGACATGCATTACAAGTCAATGTGTATGTCATTGTGAGAACAAATATGTTGAATGAGTTGTGTGATAGAGTTAAATACAGATTATAAAAAGGCATCTTAGCACCCTGAAGTAGACTCATTTGTTTAGAAACTGCAGACGAGACAAGTTCATGACAACAACGTTGAGATCTGTTGCAAACCTCTGGGTTTTCGGTTTCCCTGTTACAAAGCCATGTGAAGCTGGACTTCGTTCTGACACATCAGGGGAGTTACTGCAAAAACCCCAAACAGAGCTGGGAGCTGCACCACAGAGCTTGTAGAGAAGAGGTTGTTTTCAGCGTCAGTTGTGCAGACTTTGGGCAGTGCCCTTTTAGACAAGGCCACATGAGGCCTAAAAGGGTAATTCTGGCATCACACTCAGAGACATAGATTATTTTGGCCAATCAGGACTGAGGACTTGGTTAGAAAATGGATCACAGTGCAGACAGATACATCTTGACAGCCTCCAGGGCTTGATTCATGGCATTGGCTGGACAGTGTAGTTCCCTGGTGATCAGGGAGAACCATAAACTCACGGTCCTTCACAGGTACAAGACAACTTCTATGTTCAAGCTACAGAAGGAAAACACCAGTCAGGATGTGCTGTGTTTTCACCGAGTGGCTGGTCACTGGCAGGACAGGACATTCAGGTTTTAACAGGAAAAGTGACAAAATATGAGCGGTAAGAAGAGGCACTGAGAGGAGAGAGGAGAGGAAGCAATAGAGTTCAGTACTACTGCAACGTTTTTTCCTCAAAGAAGAACTATGTATGTCCATTTCGTTTCTTTCAAGAGCATAATAAGTCTTTTTATTGTGTCTGGTATGCAAGTTTGCCCTACAAACCACTTCAGCCTAAAACCAACAACCATCAATTTTGATTTAGTTAGTTTTTATTTTCAGTGTGGTACTCTACTCAAGGAAAAGATCACAGTATTCTTGAAGGGTGTTGCCCTGTTACACTGTCAAAAAATATACTGATAGTTCAACATCTACACAAGTAACTTCTACTTAGTACTTCAATGAGGGTTAATCACCTATGAGCTTTGGAACCACTGTTCCAATGATGCTTTGAGTGATGTTAGCAGGAAGTATAATGTTGCAATTCTGGTAATGATGCCAGCTTGAGTTATGAGCAATCCGACTGGATATTGTGTAGATTTGTGTGTGTGTGTGTGTGTGTGTGTGTAATTCCCAGATGTTAACTAGATTAACAAGAATTTATGAGTATGAGACGTGAGCTTACTTGACATATTATAACACCTCAAAACGCATTGCATGTCTACAGACTGTCCAATAGTCAACTGCCAGCTAGAAAGTTTGATAATTACCTGTTAGATAAAATAATCATGAATGATGGCAAGTGATGTTAAGGTGCATCAAGAGCTCACATAAACACTTCAATACTGAAAAAAACAACAACTTTAAACTAAAATATATTACGTTGAGTGGAAGAGGTAAAGTTGATTTACATTTGTGATTAAAAAAAAAATTATTTAAGGGCAGCTCAGACTGGTAATGTTGTGATCGATACGGTCATGTGCTGCAGAGAAGATGTATTGCTAAAGTGTACTTCATTATCAACAGTCTGCTGGTAATGGCGTACCTAAATGTTAATTTGGTACACAGTATGTCACACATACTGATTTAGCATGTAGTATGCAGCACTAGATTACTTTCATGGATGTTTAATTGTTTTAGAAACTTAAAAATGCTCTGCTGTTTAAGTCTTTTGTTTTGGAAAGATAGGACCACTCTAGTCTTTTTGATATATATATATATATATATATATATAAAAATGTATATACAGGTTGTTTGGAAAGTGAAGAGAATCTGCTTCCTGTGAACTCAGGATATGAGTGTAAATGTAAATATTTGTATTTTTCAAGAGAAATAAAAAAAATCCACATCAAGCACCATAAATAAACACATTAAGTCACAAAGGTTGTCCAAGGATCAAACTGCAGTGAGTATTGGATTACAAAAACAGACTGAAAGGGGTTTACATTTCCTACAAACCCACCCAGATCAACCCCAGCACTATGTGACATGCTTCACTTCAAAGTTGAAATGACCTCCCAACCCAGTGCCACAAACTATAATTGTTTATAGTTTTTGTAGATAATTTACCAGCAGAGACAGAGTCAGGAGAGGTGACGACATATGGAGACAGTTCTGTCAGTTACCAAGGTCAATGCCATGTCTATACAACGCAATTTAATTCTATAACATTTAAAGCAACTACAAGGAGTTATTAACTGGTGATGTAACAGTATTAATTCAATACTAATGTCTCTATATGACCTACACAAACAAGACAGTCAGTAAGAAGATTGACGTTTTCTATAGTTATTCTTAGTGTCCATCCCCGGGTCCATAAAATCGGTTTGCAGTGAGTAGTGGGCTACCCTGGCCAGTTAAAAGGAAGGGAGGGGAGATTTTCCTTTTTTGTGTGAAATTTTGTCGTTACTAGCGTATTTTGTGAGTTACAACCAAAACCTGTTCTGTCATCAGTTGCATCTATCTTTCATTCACTTCAAAAATAAAAGGCACAAGCTAGTCAGATCAAGATCTTTCCAACACGAGGCAGTGGTGCTCATGACACTGCTGCCGCTTTCGTCCACAGGTATCGTGAAGTGTAATTTCCTTGTAGTTGCTTTAAATAGTCTGAATAATTTTTTTAAATTGGCCTGCACACTTGTGCTACCGTTTCTGAAAGAGCTCAAATCTACATTATGCATTCGATTGTTAAAGATGTAAAAGAAATGCAGCACAAAGACAAAACTTGCATTACAGTGGAAAAGTCATCCATGAGTTGGGCTTTGTGTTAGACTTATTTTCTGTTCATTGTCGCACACAACCTGCCTGTTACAAAGGCTAATTACTTTTCAATATAAATTAAAAAAGTGCAGCAAAAATCACCAAAGAAATCAGCACATGCTGAATGAAGAGAACTGAAAAATTTGTATAGTTGTCAAGATTTAAGCATTCTAAAGCTTTAAAATTACAAAATTAAAATTTTCACTTTGCCTGAATACTTCAAGCCTAGTGCTCACAGTATGACAGCAGCACTGTGTCCAACACCTCTGATGAGAAGCTGTAGTGTTGAACCAGCAACTGAGCTGTCCGTCTCTCAAGCATTCATACAGGAAAGCCAAAGTACTACAACCACACACACACTGCACAGGCTAGTATGCTTGCCACATCCACACACAAAAAGATTGAAGAACAGAGATCTGCACTGTGATGCCATTCTTTATAAGTGTGATGCCAGAAGCCCTGTAAACGTCACCGTGAGCTGTGACGTGGTGCAACAGAGGAGAGAGTTATGTTATGGGAGAACTGTGCATCTTTTATTATAAACATGGATGGGACACTTACCTTTACTTGTTCGGCTGATCTGTGAAAGCATACCTCTGGCTGCAGTGCAAACATGTCCAGGCTTTACTGTCCACTGACTTCTGCAGAACTACTCATCGCCAATGTAACCCAACTGCAGAGAAGAGCCTCTACTGTGGACTGGGGCAGCCTGTCTTTAACAAGCTGGCTGACAGCAGCTAACACACCTCTCATTTACCCAAAGACATGACAGACACACACACACGCACACGCACACAGGCACAACCGACCCCCTCTCTTCAACCGTTCGGTGCACGGGACTTCCTGCCTCAGGTAGGCTAGTGAATAGGAGGTCAGTCTGGTCCACTAGAGCAGTTTTTACCAACAGCTTTCAGGGTCAGGAAGGTTCCACAGAGGACAACAAATATTGATAATGAGGGGGTTAAAAACAGTTTAACAAATCTTGACTAAGATCTTTGTTTTTGATATGTTGGTGTCAATTATTAGTCCAATAACACAGAGTCAAAATGTGTTGCAATAGCAGACACCTTGGTTCTGAAAATCAGTTTTATAGTTACGCAGTAGTCTGTTGACTATGAAGTTCACTTACAAAATGTCACTGTCAAAGCTTTGCTTTCAAGTTTTACTCTAATGATGGCATCAAAGTGTGTTGGTACTTAAGGGCATCACTGTTCTGAACCTAATATAGTTACTGTGTAGTCTGTTAAGTGTACTCTACTGCCTTTCAATAAACTTAATACAGTGATATGAAGGGATGTGTATCCAGGATCAATACTAAATTTGTACCAGTTCCTGACTGGTCAGCATCTTAAAGTGTCTGGACCAACTGTGCTGCTATCAGTATAAAATTTATTGTTATCTAATTATAACACAGCTGGCATTTACAAATCCCTAACTGTGCCCCTCTGATGACGAAGCTGCCGGCATCATGCGATTACAGTAATGTTGCTAAGTACATGATGCATCCCTGACGCATTAAAATCTAAAATGACATAGTCAACTCACTATCTATGCATCCAAGGGATGTACTATTATTTTTCTTAATAATGCTACATTGTAAGCCACAAATCCATGGTGAAAGTGCACACGACTGTACTTTTTTCTCACGTCACGGAAACCACTGTGCTTTGTTAATTTTCAGATGCCTCATTCAATATACACAGGAAACAGCTAAACTTATAGCCGCAAAAGAGTACTAGTGATAAAATAAGTTATATCAATAAAGGCATCAATATGTTTCGGAGTCATTAAGTATCAGTATCTGTATCAATATCAGTGTCAATTAAGTCCTCACAATACCCATCCCTAGTAATGTGTAATTTCTGAAGTGCTATTGGTGCCATCTTTTAAAGGATCCTGACTCTGAACTTGTATGAGCGTCAGTGTCAAAGCTTTGGTTACTATTTTTACTCTTATAACAAAGTCAAAATTAGTACAGGCACCAAGTTTTGTTACCTGCCCTTTTTACTGCACCATTTGGTGTATTTGCTCTTTTTTCTCTGCACTTCTGCCACGACCAGATCCAATTGAAAAAAACTATCCAAAATCGACTGCTGCAACATTTTTTCCCCTCGTTTTGAATGTGTATTATTTCACATTTTACATGTTCTTTGTCAAGGCCACCCTTAACAGGATTAGAATGAAAATTTCAGCACATCTATATTGGAAACCATATAGAGTTTAAAACTGAGGACAGTTTCAATATGTCAGAATATTGTTTGAGCTGACTTTCCTTGCACAGTAATGCGCATTCAAACTATTTCGAATCTTATAAGGTCAGAAGAACATTTTTAGCAGCCTCTAAGCAAACCTATGAGGAAAACTTTTTTTTCTTATATTTGGACTTCTTTGGTGACATCACATACTCAAAAAGCGTTCTTTAATTTATGATGTCTAATATATTATTTCTCAAATGCAAGTCTTTCTCTGATACAAGTATGGTAACAGCACAAATAGACGTGCATCAAAATCACAGCCGCGACTAGCTTGACTGCAGTATTGTTCATGGTGCTGCTGTTGATATGTGTCACTCTGTCTTGTCTATATTTATGCATTGACAGTGTTTTCTTTTTGCACAGTGGCATTATAAATTTGTTTTTCACCGTGTGAGAAAATGGACAAATGAGAGCCTATGAAAAGTCTCAAATGCATGAGTTTCACAGTCAGTATTCGAGTTGGTAAGACTGCAAATCATACTTTTTGTACCATGTTACATGCACTGGTGCATGCAGAGCTGAGAAGTACGTGCACAGCTAGACGTATACTACCATAAATATGCATGTGGCATTTCAAGTTTCATAATGCAAAGTCAAAATGAGTTGGTAAGTTAAAAAAACCCATTCCAAACCTCTGTAACATAGTGACTGTGTAGTCTGTTAAAGGTGCTTGCTGTCCTTAAAACAAATCGACTATAAACTTGTCTCAGAACGGTCAGTATCGATGGTTTGATTTCCATTTTAACTCCAATAACAAAGCAAGAATGTTCTACTGCTGTCGGGCCAGCTTAGTGTTCTTGGCAGTCACTTAAATCTTCTTTACGTGTGCTAGAAGAATGGCCAAATGTTAAAATCTTTGTCCTCCAACTTCGCAAGCTACTGTCCAAGCTATAGAGCTACCATCTATCATGATCAATTGCAAATTGACAGTGACAGTGTTTCGTCAGCAAAAGAGAAGAAGCTACAGACTTTGAATTTCTTGGTTTGGAAAGTTCCTTCTCACAGTCCAACACCTTTAAAGCTGGTCAAACCTGTTAAAGAAAAACAAATTGTACACATAGACACAGACATAACATTTCAAGTTTTAAAGCTTACAATTAGGTGATGTTAATGAGCACTCATACTATTTCTCCAAATGCTGTGTAGAGGAGAATGTCTCGGATGATCACTTTTGACTAGCAAAGCTTTAAATTAGCATAATAATGTCTCCTGATTATATGCCTAACACAATTTACAAAAAAGAATATCAGCAATTAAAATTGCATGAGCTCCCCCACTTTTAAATAATATCAAATTGTCTACTAACTCTGAAGTATTGGCAGGTATCTGACTTGCCTCTAGTTTTTCCATTCACTAACATAATCTCTTCAAGAGGTTACATTTTAGTCAAGAAATCCAGTTAAACATTGGCTCATTGAGCCAGACAGTGGACAGTCTCTGTCAACAAAACAACTGAAGTGAATCCAAAGGGGTTTCCTTTTTCTGTTGCACTAAATTCTCCTTGTAAGACTGCATAAAGTTAGAGAAGACTATAAGCAATGAAGCATAACAAACTTGAGCAAATGTGTCCTTTTTTTTTTTTTTAAACCAAGAAATGATTTTAACCATAATCTTAGCTGAATTTGTTGCTATATTAAAGAAAATGAGTAATCTACAAAATGAACACGTGTTAACTAGCCATCCCGAATTGGAATCTGGAAT